CCCCGTTTTATTTCTGTTCAACCTTGTGGGTCCTCTCCCTTGGACAAGGCACTGATGCTATTTTGATGTGCTTGGGTCCTAAGTCTTGAGAGCATTCCTTGCTGACCTTCCCATCTTGAGTTTTGCCTTCTGTGGTACTCCTGGCCTTCAGGGCCGCAAGGTCTGTCATGCATGTCATTCTCTAACATGTCATCCACAGTGTATGATGAGGGCACACACACCTTTTGCAAGCTTGCTTATGCCCTCATGATGGATTAATAACCTGTGATTGAATCTAAGGTGCAAGCCAATGATGATTCAGAAGACTTGGTGGTAGACAACACTTCCCGTGGAATGTGCAGTGATGGAAAGTACCATCCAGAAAGGATGTCTTCACTTCTCTTGTCTTTTCTTCCTCCTTGGTACTGAGTTTTGATCTCAGGGCTTGCTGCTTGCTAGACACTATACCCTCAAGTCCTTTTTTGCTTCCATTAATTTTTAGGTAAATTCTTTCATTATTGCTCAGAGTTGTCAAAGATCCTGCTACCTCTATTTCCTGCATAGCTGGAACTACAGATGTGTGCTAGCCAGACAGTTTGTTTGCTGATATGGAGTCTTGCTAACCTTTTGCCTGGGCTGGACTTTAACTGCAATTCTCTTAACCTTAGCCTCCAGTGTAGCTGGTATTACAGGTGTGAACCCACTCTGAGAGACCCTCTGTGAGTTTTCTAATGATGCAGGCCAGCCCTCCAGGGGGGATGGATAGGAAGACCAGAGTCTGTAATGTCACATTATCCCCACTGGATCCTAAAATAATGAGAACTGTAAGTTTAACTGCAACCATTATAAGCCATTATCATGATTTTCCTTCTCTTACTTTCCCCAAGTAAAGTCATTTGTGTGTGCTTGTGATTTAGATTCTATTTAAATTTTAAAAAAGGACTGAGTTGGCAAGGTACAAAGTCCCCTCTAGAAGTCATCTGTATCACCTTCCTATTTCTGTGAGAAAGTCTTCATAAGAAAAGAGGTCTTCAACTTTTCTGGAACCTTCCTTTGAATTAGTCTTGTCACAAATGGTATGGGGATTGTGTTGTAGCTGACCATGAATGGGGCTTTGTTGAGTATACTGGAGCTTGAACTCAGGGCCTGGATACTGCCTCTTAGCTTTTTCATTCATGGTTGGCACTGAACCCATGGAGCTATACCTCCATTTCTGGCTTTTTCCTGGTTAATTGGAGATAAGAGTCTCATGGACTTTCCTGCCTGGGCTGGCTTACAACCATATTCCTCAGATCTCAGCCTCCTGAGCAGCCAGGGTTAAAGGTATGAGCCACTGGTGCCTAATCAAAAATATTTCTTAAGAGAAGAGCATCTTGCTTTCATCAGATGTAATGAATACTTATGACATGTTCTCCTCATCTGAATGAACTTAAAAAAATCCTTGCCATATTCCAGTCCTTTCCATTGTCATGGATATTAGGCAGTTACCAGATTTGAGAAAGAGCTCATTTAAAAAAAATCGTGGATTTTCCTAACATCACATTATCTGACCTTTTCCGCTTGACTCATACATAAATGAACCCTTAGATATGTATTTTAATGTTTTTTTCTTTCATGCATGTGTTTCTAATGCATTTATAAGATTATTTCTTTGTTGCTTTGTATGTCCCTCCCCCACAGTATAACCCCTGCTTTCACTATATTTGATGTCAGTATAACTTGTGGAGGAGATGGGGAAAAACAAGTTGTTTAAGGATACAGGTGGACCTGTTGCAACAATGAGAAGTACAAGTTGTCATGTCCAAAACGAGCTTTACAATGTCGGTGGGGGGGTGGAGGGGAAGGATTGGGCTTGGGGGAGGGAGGGCAGAGGCTGGGAAGGGATGTGAAGGGTAAACAAAGGAGGAGGCTGCAATGCTTGGTAAGAAATGTATGCATTATCCTGCCCATGTAATTGTAACCCCTCTGTACAGTAAGTTCACAAATAAAATAAAATTAAATTAAAATTAAAAAAATCGTGGAATGCAGTCCTTTATTATCTCAGGGCAATTTGAATCAAAGACTGGGCTTCCAAGATGGTCACTGTGGTGACAGTGTTGGGTCAGAGCTGGGAGGACATTAATTCCGGACTTCCTGTCTTTAGAGCTTTGAGAGAGCAATTTGTGTTCTGATTTGTAGGAGGACAGAACAATTATGGAGTCTATCATATTTCCTTTTAGTGTAGAAGTAACTCTGTGGATGGCTTTATCCAGAAGATACAGAAGATTCTCTAAACATTGTGAAAAGCAGTTATGTTTATAGCTGACATCTGGCCATGAAATATAGCCATAAAGACAAAATGGACAGATCATGACCTTCTTCAAAGTCAGCCTGTGGGGGCTCATATGTGTCATCTTAACTACATGGGTGGTGTAAATAAGAAGATTGCAGTTCATGTCAGTCGAGGCAAAATATAAGACCTTATTAAAAATAATATTTGGAAATCTTACATCCTCAGGATACTGTTTACAGGGTCAATGTCATGGAAGTGGTGAAGATAGAAGTCTCAGGTATTTGGGCTGGGAAGGTGGCTCAGTGGTAGAGTGCTTGCCTTGCATGCCTGGAGCCCTGGGTTTGATTCCTCAGCAGCATATAAGCAAAAAGAAAAAAAACCGGAAGTGGCACCGTGGCTCAACTGGTAGAGCGCTAGCCTTGAGCTGAAGAGCTGAGGGACAGCTCCCAAGACAAGAGTTCAAGCCCCATGACCAGAACCTCCCCCCCAAAAAAGAAGTCTCAGGTATTTGAAAATTATATTTATTCTACTAGTCTCTGCTATGAGGTCTAGACTAGGTGAGGTAAGTAATACATTTTCCTTGCATTCAATATAGGGTTGTGCTTGGTGAATAAGGAAATGTCAGTGGACAATGTACAATGGTTCATGACTATTATATCAGCACTCAGGGAGATCTGAAATTCCTGAGCAGCGTAAGTTATATGGTGAGTTATGTTAAAAATAATCAAGCAAACAAAACCAAGATAAGGAAAGAAAACAAGAATGTTTTTTGCAAGTGTATTGTGGGTCTATGGTGTTTGACTATAATTTGATTTGAAGCCATTTGTTTTGTTGTGTTTCTGGTACTGTGTGTAGTTTCTGGATGACAGCTATGCCATCAGCTTGCAGGGAAAACACCTATAGTCTGTGACTATAGGTGGAAGCAGGTGGATGATGGGAAGAGCACTAGAAATCAAGTTTGATGAACTAGGCAATTTTCTGAGTGGACTTGTTTTATTATATGAAAATGATGGGACAGGTCCTTCATGGATTTGATACTCTGAGTTGCTGAAATCAGCTATTGTGATAAATATCCTATGAAGGGCAAAACATGCAAGGTATTTTGAAAGAGGACAGATGAGGAGCAATAATTCTCTGAACCCCAAGAAAAGGACTCAAATGGTTTTTCTTTCTCGCAATTGTTTCTAACATATTTATTAGATGATTTTTTTTGTTTCTTTGTATGTCCCTCCCCCTCGGTCGAACCCCTGTTTTCACTGTATTTGATATTGGTATAATTTGTGGAAGGAAGGGAAAACACAAATTGTTTAAATAGGTATACAGGTGGACCCATTGCAACAATGAGATGTACAAGACTTTATGTTGAGAAATAAACATTACATTTGAAGTGGAAAGGGGGGCAGGGAGATGGGAGAGCAGGGATGGTAAGGGGATAAAAAAGAGGAGGTAACAATGCTTGATAAGAAATGTCATTATGACCTTTGTCTGGTAATTGTAACCCTTCTGTACGGTATTTTCACAATAAAAAAAACTTTTCAATAATAATAATAAAAGAGATGTTGTTAAAAAAAATTCTCCCTAGAGTTTGATGCTCATAATGCTGAGCAGAAAGGGGCAGCAAGGGACACCATTTCCCCTCCACTGCTCCCTCTCCACCTCCCGTGCTAGGATTCAAATCAAGACCTCTTGCTGTTGCTCTTCTCTCACTTGGCTTTTCAGTTGAGGGCTGGCACTGTGCCACTTGAGCCATGCCTCCATTTCCACCATTTTCCTGTTTTTTTGAGATCAGTGATTTTCAGATTAGTTTACCAGGACTGGCTACAAACTGTGCATTCTCAAATCTCAGCTTCCCAGGTTAAGCCACTGGTGTCTCCCCTATTTGCTTTTTTAATTTTTTTGTAAAGTTTTTATTTTGTGAACCATTAACTTTCCAAACCCTTTAAAAATTATTTAGAAAATACTTTATTAGTTTTTCCAATTAAACCCACGTAGATAAGACCTTACCTATTTAATACAGTGTGTTTACCTACCCCTGTACAAATAACTTTCCAAATCTTTGACTTGCTCAATGAGATTGTGAACCTCTTCCTGAAAATATGTGGACCATTTAATATCAGCCTTCTATGAATCAAAAATTTTAATTATTCAACACATTAATATTACATTTCAAAAACTTTTGCAAAGTCGATTTTTACAGTGTCTTGTCTCTGGGACATCACTCAGAGTTCATTTCCTATGGAGTTAGTTGCCCCTTCTCTGGGTTCCTGCTAGTTGTTCCTTTTCTTTTTCATTCTTCAATATTGTATAACTTCCAAGGCCCAGCCTGCTTTCATTTATATACAATATTGTCTAATGATTGCTCTGTGTCCCAATTTTGTACTTACAGTTCAGACTGGTTCCTTGAATTTCAGAATTGCACATTCACAGACACTTATGGTACATTTTCAGTTGGAGGTCTCAAAATTCTAATTAAAGGCCAGATTCTCATCTGTCCTCCAAATTTGCTTTCTGTTGGCTTCCCTTTCCCAGTAAACATCATTCTAAATTCTGTTTTCCAAATTCAAACACATGCAGCAGTCATCTTTGATTTTTTTCTTCAAGCACTTCATCTCTAATATGCCAGTAGATAATTGTATTCATTCTACTTTCAAAGCATGATGACCTCTGACTATCTTTCAGCACAGTCATCGAGGGGTTAAAACCCTGATAGGCAGATGTATTTTAATGTGGCTATGCTTTTCAAGGGAAGTTAAACTGGGACATATATATGTATGTATATATATATATATATATATATATATATATATATATATATATATATATTCAAACAGGACACACACACACATTAAACTTTTTCACAGTCCCTAAATTATTTGATAATTATATGGTGTCCCTGTGATGAAATCTTCACTCCCTGTCTTCCTACCCTGCATTTTAGAGGTAGTCATGGCCCTTCAAGATTTCCAGAATTAAGGAACTTGTTTTCCTACTGGAGTTTCCACATATCATGAGGTTGGGGTTGAGTTGATGACAACACTTTGTAACTCTTGAACTAGTAGATTTTCTTTTGCATGCAGAAGTTAAAGGACCAAGGGAGCAAAAACCCAATAGATACTGGAGAGTCATGAAGAATTATCCATATATTTATTGGTGGATTTCCATTCATTGCTGTGAGTTAAATCTCTGAGAAGAGTCCTGTCTCCTTGCCATGATAGTTATGTTAGTGGATTCAGGAATATCTTCTTTTCTTTTCAATTTTAATTAGAGTTTCATGAGTAAGATAATGAGTACAATTCTTATCCCTCATTGTCAGGAGTATCTTGATCACCAAATTGGATCTTGTCACATATCACAGAAACCAGCCCCAGCAGATGTAAATATAAAAGAAATTTGTGAGAAATATATTGGAAAAAAGAACAGAAATGGAACTAGGTACATGGAGTGCATGAGTGGAAAGAAATGGGGACAATGATGAAATGGGAGACATTGATCAAAATGCACTGTTAAGCTGACATGTTAAATTGAAACTCCCTATACAACACCTTCAAGATGATACATTAAATAAACAGAAACAGAGAGAGAAACAGAGAAGTATACTTGTTAGTTCTCCTGTTTGTTGGATTTCTGTTACAGTAACTAACACTATTTGTGAAGAGTTAAAAAGGTCTATTTTGCTCATGGTTTTGGAGGTTCCAGTTGGCTGGTTGCATGCAAGAGGGTGATGTGATACTGCAAACAAATGGGGAAATGACGTTCAACCCTGAAGTGATTTTCCAAGTGTATTAAATTTATATTTTCATTATTCAGTGGAAATTTTTAACATATCTCATTGTAACTGACAAGACAGGGATATGGGAAATGGAAAACACTCAGGCACTTTCCACTCCTTGCACTCAAGTTTTGTCTTGTGCATTCATGTTAGAGGTTCTGATAAATCATATCATTTCCTCAGATGTCATAGCTGAACACCAATGTATCTTGCTCTTGAAGCATTCTGGACAAGGAGTTGACCACAGGTTTCAGGAATGGGGTCTGCCCCAAATTTTCTTCAGGATCCAGTCAGAGTACAATAATGTTGTATTTGTGACATCTGCCAAACAAGAGCCCCTCAGGTGCTGCTAATTTCCTTTCTTTCTTTCTTTCTTTCTTTCTTTCTTTCTTTCTTTCTTTCTTTCTTTCTTTCTTTCTTTCTTTCTTTCTTTCTTTCTTTCTTTCTTTCTTTCTTTCTTTCTTTCTGTCTTTCCTTCCTTCCTTCCTTCCTTCTTCTCTCCCTATCTTCTCTTTCTCTCTCTCTTTCTTTCTTTTTTTCTTTCCTCCTTTCATTCTTTCTTTCTCTCTCTTTTGAACTTTCTCCCTTCTTTCTTTTCCTCTCTCCTTTTTTTCTTCTTTACTTTCCTCCCTACTCATGCCCTACTTCCTTCCTTCCTCCTTGTTTTATTTTTCCCAGCATGATTTGTTTTTGTTAAGATTTATAATCTGAGGAATTTAACAATTAGGATTTAGAGTGATTTTGGTATATTGAATCCATTTCAAATTATCTATGAGTAGCTCCTCACTAGGAGACTAGCGTGTAAAAGCTTCTAAGTTTCTCTCACAACCTCTAAATTGGTGTCTGAGTGTTTTCTAGTCACACAGTTACGCTGTCTGTGTTGGTATCGTTGGGCTCCTGCATCAGGTCTGTTCACAGCCCACTGCCCACACAGTTGCTTCCTTACTTCCTGACAGTTTTGCATAGGCCTCTGGAGGCTTGTTTCAGCTGTGCAGGTTTTATATGTGAGACTGCCATGAGCAGAGAGCTCCATCAAGCCAGCAGGAGCAAGAAGATGAGCTTGAGAGCCAGGTCTTCAACCCCCTGCTTCTCTGGGTGTCTGGTGAGAAACTTAGCTGCTGTGATGCATTTAGTGCCTTCTGTATTGATGAAAAAATGCTTTGAATGGAAGCAAGAAGTTTTTTTTCTTTGTTCATATTTCTGTTCTTTTGTCTTGTTCGTTTATCTGTCGTTGGGAGGGTAAAAGGGAACACGGAAATGGATGGACAAAGCGTAAATAAACGCAGCAGTGATACTCATGAGATAATATGTGGAACTATTCAACTTGTGGCTGGGGATAAGAGGAAACAACTGGGAAAGAATGAGGGAAGGGGTGACATTGTCCAGAAAGAAATGTATCTGTTATCTGATGTATGTAACTGTAACCCCCCTGTAATCACCTTTATAATCATAATACTAAATGAAAAAAATGTAATAAGAAATGGCAATCTCCAGTATGGACACAATAATATACTGACTTATACAATCAGAAGGTGCATTTTAGTGGTGTGTTTCAATGTATACATGATGAGGTTTGAGTGTGTGTGCATGTATGAATGACATGGTCCATTTGTGATTGCAGGTGTCTGTGGAGACATCATAATGACACAGTCTCCACGCTCTCTGGCTGTGTCAGTAGGAGAAAGGCCACTATGAACTGCAAGTCCAGTCAGAATGTGAACAACCACATAGTCTGGTACCAGCAGAAAGCAGGGCAGGCTCCTAAACAGCTCATCTGGAATCCCTAAGCGATTCATTTGCAGTGGGCCTGGGGCAGACTACATTCTCACTATCAGCAACAAGCAGGCTGATGATGTGGCAGATTATTACTGTCAACAGTATTATAACTACCTTCCCAAAGGACTTCAGTCTTGATCACAAACCTCCCCAGCCATGGGTCAGTAGTCCTTGCTGTGTGAACATCTGCCTTCCAACACAATTCTGAACTGGCATCCTTCCTGTCTGCCTGAGAGGTTGCATTTCAACATTTCATGCTGGTAGGGTTTGCAGGGACCAGGAAGCATTCAGGGACTTGGCCTTACTGGATTTCTGTTTGTGGGAGATAATTGTAGAAAATATGGTAAAGTTGTCTGAGAGACACTGTTAAGAGTGTTTGTGTTACAGGTACCTGAATGTTTGTACTGATCATATGGCTGATTGAATAGTTTCTCTTTACAGATGACTGTAGTACCTTTTTTTTATTCCTCCCTCCCTCCCTCCTTCCCTCCTTCCCTCTGTCCCTTCCTTCCTTCCTTCCTTTCTTCCTTCCTTCCTTCCTTCCTTCTTCCTTCCTTCCTTCCTTCTTTCCTTATTCCTTTCTTCAGGCCTTCCTTCTTTTCTTCCTTTCTTTCATTTCTGTCTTTCTCTTTTTGTTGTTCCTAGAACTTGAATATAGGCCTGGGCAGTATTCTTAGCTTTTTCATTTTTTTACCTCAAAGATGGTGTCTTCTCCTTGAGTCATCCCCCATTTTTGGTTTTTTGAAGGTTAATTGAAGTTAAGAGTCTAATGGAATTTTCTGCCCAGGCTGGCTGGTTTTGAATCTGCAATGCTCAGATCTCTTCCTTTGGGCTAGCTAGGATTATCTGCTGAAATACTGGAATTGGTGTCTTTAGTGCATCTGGATAGGTCAATTCTTCTTGTCCTCCTGACCCTCTTTAATTCTGGATGCTTCTATTTTTATCCTCTTACTTACTTTTCTTGTCTCTCATTTTCCAGTATTAAACCCAATTATTTTCTGAATAAATTTCTGTTCCACTATTAAGCCCTGATCCCTTGTGTCAAAACCTCAAACATAGAAGTCCATATTCCTAGTTAATCTCTCTTACCTGCACCCTGTTTTCCAGATGCAATGGGTTTAGATACTGTTCACCCAATAAATTCCTCTTTTCTTCCTTCAATCCTCACCAACAGTCCCTCAGTTACACATATGTTTATTACATATGTTCAAAGATTACAAACATCTTATATGTCCCATATTCCTTTGTGTGTTTACATGCATAGATATCTTTTAGGTTTAGCAAGTACACATGAGAGCAAGCATGTGACCGTCCTTCTGAATATGGCTTGGTTTGCTTACCATGAATGTCCCAGATCTACCCACTTCTCTGTAAATGACTCAGTTTCATGTGTGGTCAGGCCAGGCTCCATGGTAAATGATTTATAAGACTTCCCAAAGGACTGTTGATTCCCACACTGGTCAGGTACAGATTTCACTCTGGAAATCAGCAATGTCCACCCTGCTGAGGATGCTGGAGTTTACTGTTGCTTCCAAGGTACACAATATCTTACCTGTGTGGTACAGCCCAGAGCAAAAACCTCCCTGGGTGGAGTGGCCCAGCTGTCCCCATGTGTGGCTTGTCTGGGGTCCAACAGGGCAGATATTCTGAGCCTCTGAGTGACATCCAAGTTGTAGTTGAGGTCTCTGTCACATAGCGGCCATGGCTACTAGTTACTGAGAATATCCATAACCAAGAATAACAGCAACAACACGTGCTAGTGGGGATGGAGAATGAACTCTTGCCTAGGATTCTCCTGATCTGCATCTTGAAAGACTAGGATTAGAGGCCCAAGTATCCCCACTTGGCCACATACACATCTTAAATCCTGTAAGATATTCTCCATTTTTGTCTGTGCAGCCATTTTTAGTTGACCTGTACGTATTAATTTATACATTGCAATGTGCAAGTCTTAATACCTTCCTTTTTAGATGAGAAAATGTAATCTTTCCATCAGCACAGCTCTCCTTATTCTTTCTTTTATATAATAGTGGAAACTGTGATTTTGTTGTACTTTGTTTTGCAAAGAGTATTTCCTTCCTTCTCTTTATTCTCTCAGGTCCTTTCCCTGTGACAAGGTACTGATGCCATTTTATGTGCCTGGTCCTAAGCCTTGGATTCGCTTCTGGCACTACGTTATGTTTCCTGCCGACCTCAGATTGGGAGCTGTCTTCTGTGGTACTCCTCAACATCAGGGGTCTAAGGCCTGTCTTCTATGCCCTTCTCTCCCACTCCATACACAGTACATAACGAGGGTCCTGTGGCGAGCTTGCTTATGCACTCATGATGAATTGTTGACATGTTATAGTACTTGATGACTGTGCCCAGCGTCTTTAGGAATCATTGAGTCAATGAAGATTGAGAAGCATTCAAGTTGGCAACCATGTCCCATGCAATGTGCAGTGATGGCCAGTGGCAACCAGAAAAGATGACTTCACTTCTGTTGTTTATTCCCCACCTCTGACAGGTTTGAACAAGGGCCTCCCTCCTTGCAGACACTCTACCACTTGAGCCATGCCACCCCTACTCCCTTTTTACTTTATGTATATTTTAGGTAAAGTCTTATTTTTGCTCAGATTTAGCAAAGATCTTCTTACCTACAGCCTCCTGCATAGCTGGAACTGCAAATGTGTGCCCTCATACCAGCTTGTTTGCTAAAATAGAGTCTTGCTAAACTTTTTCCTGTGTAGGGATTGAACTGTAATCTCAATCTCAGCCTCCTGAGTAGCAGGGATTATAGGTATGAGTCAGTATGGGAGGCCTTCGGTGATTCTGAGATACAGGCTAGCTCTCTAGGGGAAATGGATCAGAAGAGCAGAGTTTGCAGCATCACATGATATCCTCTGTTTCCTGAAAAAAGCAGAACTGAAAGATAAAATGCAATCATTATAAGCCATTTTCATGAATTTTCCTTTTATTACTTTTACTCAGTAAGTCATATTCTGTGTTTGTGATTTAGATTATATGTCAATGCGAAAAGGAACAGAATTGACAAGGCACAAAATCCCTTGTAGAAGTCAATGATACCACCTTCCTTTGTCTGTGGGAAAAACTGAAAAAATTTCCTTCAACCTTTCTGGAAACTTCCTTGAGTTAGTCTTTTCTATTTACCCAGAAGTGATGTAGGGCATCTGTACTTTTCTGTCACAAATATTATGGGCTGTGTGTTGAAGCTGACCATCAATGGGGTTTTGTTGAGTATAGCTGAGGCCCCCATGGGACAGAGACCTCAGCTGCAGTTTGTGTCTCTGAGTTGCCCAACCTTGTCCTTGCACACAGACTCAGAGAATCTGCTCTGCTGGTCCCCAGGCAAGCAGCACATGGGCACAGCTGGGCTGCCTCATGCAGGGAGGTTTTTGCTCTGGGCTGTAGCACAGTGTTAGGGTATTGTGTACCTTGCCCACAGTAATAAACCCCTGCATCATCAGGCTTCACCCTGCTGATTGTCAGTGTAAAATCTGTACCTGACCCACTGCCACTGAACCTCTCTGGGACACCAGTAACTTGGTTGGAAACCTTATAGATCAGGAGTTGTGGAGACTGGCCTGGCTTCTGTAGGTGCCAATTCAAGTATGTGTTTCCATTGCTATGCAGGAGGCTCTCACTGGACTTGCAGGAGATGGAGGCTGTCTCTTCAGGTTTGATGGACAGGGAGAGTGGAGTCTGTGTCATCCTGATGTCTGCACTGGATACTAGAAAGAAGAAAGTTAGGTGCAGAGTCACATAAAAATTTTTAGCTGGTTTTTTAATTTTCCTCCATTGTACTGAATTATTAGTTGAATTTTCATTTGAATTGTAAATATTCAGTTTCAAGATATGTGCCCAGAGGGTGTTGTTCTTACCATCTCACTCTATAGAACAATTTTTAGCAGAATCTAGATCCTTATGCCCTGTATTCTTCCTCCCACTCAGAGCTCTAAACAGCACCTGCCATTGTGAAGTATGAGATCCACACACCTCACATGTAGACAGAACACACAGCAGCAGCAGTGGTGCACCAGACCCCACCTGAACACCCCATCTCTTTCTTCATTTCTTTCATTTCTCTGTGTCCTTACCAGGGATCCAGAGCATCAGCAGCCCCAGGAGCTGAGCAGGGCATCTCATCTTGAGAAACTGAAATGAAGAGTCCTCATCAGTCAATTTAGGGTGAGAGCTGAGCTTTTATCTTAGCCTTAGCAAGGAGGCTCCTCCCTAGGGAGCACTATGCAAATTGTATGCTGGGTGCAGCAATATGAAAAGACTTAAGGGGCACAGAAGGAGGCATCTTAGTTGCACCAAATAATTTTTGTATTGGGAAGAATCTAGTAAGGATAATTTGATGATGCCTGCCCCAATGGGCAGTAAGGGGCCATGGGGAAGGTCTGGATGTGTTTATTGGGGCAGAAGGGGGAGGTGAGGTGCATATGGACCCACCTCTCTAAGAGAGCAAAGAGACCTGATGCAGTGGAGGTGTGGGGACTGGTCTCTTGGAGGGGAGCAGTGCCTATTTGGTTCCTACCCAGCTAAGAAGATAAACAACTTTTCTCTCCCAAATATTGCCCTTCAGTTTCCTACCATTGACAACATAGACTTGAGCTAAGGTGGTAGTCGCCAAGTGGACAAAGCATGTTAGAGACAACAACTAGCAAAGGCTTTATCCTTTGTGTTAGTGAATTAAACTGTGTGATGCTCATATGAAGAGGATTCTGAAGGAAGGGAAAAAAGAATTTCAGTTTTAAGAGAGAGCTAATTATCAGGTTGAAGATAAGCACAAAGGTGGGAAATTATACTTTTAGTAGTATATATAAATATCCTAGCAACTAGTTTTTATAAACTGGTGAACATTCTTTCATTGTTATTTCCATATGTATACCTATATATCTATAGATTAATGTCAGATTCATGCAAACATTCCCTCCAAAATTAATTGTGCTTGGTTTGAAATTAGGTCTTCAAACTTGCTAGGCTGGTATTTTTCCACTTGAGCCATGCATTTCAAACTATTTTATGCTTGCATTGTTGGTTGTTGAATATTATGGACTTTTTTTTATTGTAAAAATACTGTACAGAGGGGTTACAATTACATGGGAAAGATAATGAGTACATTTCTTATCAAGCATTGTAGCCTCCTCCTTTGTTTCCCCTTCCCCTCCCTTCCCATCCTACCCTCACTCCCCTACCCAATTCTCCCCCTCCCCCCGCCCTGCCACCCGCACCAAAGTTGTAAAGTTCGTTTTTGACCTAACGACTTCTACATCTTATTATTGCAATGGGTCCACCTGTATCCCTATTTAAACTATTTGTTTTTCACCTTCCCCTCCACAAATTATAACGATATCAAATACAGTGAAAGCAGGGGTTTTACTGTGGGGGAGGGACATACTAAGCAACAAAGAAATAATCTTATAAATGTGTTAGAAACAATCGCATGAAAGAAAAAAAACATTTGTATACTATCTTAGGGTTCATTTCCCTAACATCACCTTATCTGTCCTTTTCTGCTTGACTCAGACATATACTAGTTATTGCAAATAAGGGAAACCATGGGACCTATGTTTCTTTGGGCCTGGCTTACTTCACTTAATATAATTTTTTCCAAGTCTTTCCATTTCCTAACAAATGGGGCAATGTCATTATTTCTGATAGAGGCATTAAATTCCATTGTGTATATATACCACATCTTCTTGATCCATTCATCTACTGGAGGGCATCTGGGTTGGTACCATATGTTAGCTATAGTAAATAGTGCTGCAATAAACATAGTTGTGCTGGTAGCTTTAGTGTGGTCTTGTTTGTAAACATTTTGGTAAATGCCCAAAAGTGGGATTGCTGGGTCATAGGGGAGCTCTATGTGGAGTCTTTTGAGGAACCTCCATACTACTTTCCTAAGTGGTTGAACAAGTTTACACTCCTACCAACAATGCAGTAAGATTCCCTTCTGTCCATATCCCCTCCAGCATCTGTTGTTATTAGAGTTCTTGATTTTAGCCATTCTAATTGGGGTGAGGTGATATTTCAATGTTGTTTTGATTTGCATTTCTTTTATGGCTAGGAAGGTTGAGCATTTCTTCATGTGTCTATTGGCCATCCTTCTTTCCTCTTCAGAGAAGTTTCTTATAGACTTTTTAGCCCAGCTTGCTTTATAATCACAATTCTCTGGATTTCAGTTTTCTGAGTAGCTATCTAGAAGCCACTGGTACTTGAACAATATTTCTTTTTATTTATTAATTAATCTTCATATTTTAACTTATTGTGTCAGAACTGGGGCTTCAACTTAGGGCCTGAACAATGCCCCTTAGTATTTTTATTCAAGGTTGGCACCCTACCCCTTGAGCTATATTTCTGGCTTTTGTTCTGGTCAATGGAAGAGAAGGGTCTCATGGTCTTTCCTGCCAGGGATGGCCTAGAACCACATTCCTTAGATCTCAGTGTCATGAGTAGCTAGGATTACTGGTGTGAACCACTCTTGCCTGGCCAAAAGCATTCTAAAGAGGATGATATCTTGATATTATCAGGTGTAATGAACATTTATGGAATTTTTTTTTCCTGAATGGTCTTAGAGAATTCCTTCCCATGTCTATTCTTTCTTGTCAAGCATCTTATGCAGTCACAGTCATAATTCCACAGTTTAGGGATGGAAGATGGCTCAGTGGTAGAATGCTTGCCTCACATGCCTAAGGCCCTGGGTTTGATTCCTCAGCACCACATAAGCAGAATAAAGCTGGAAGTGGCGCTATGGCTCAAGTGGTAGGGTGCTATACCTCAGCTGAATTGCTGAGGGACAATGCCCAGGTCCAGAATTCAACCCCCATAACTGAGAAAAAATTCCACAGTTTACAAAGAAATTTCATTTATTAGAAATGTCTCAGGAGAGTGAGACCGGGCTTCTATGGGGGCTTCATCCAAAGTGGTCACTGCTGTGAGTGTATTGGTTCAGAGCTTGGAGGACATTAATTCCAGACATCTTACATTTAGAGATCAATCTGTGCTGTTTTCATCAACATATTTATGGTCCTTTGACATATTGAAGTGATGTTATATATCCACCTCACAATGGAAACCTGATTTGTGGAAAAGTAACAACTAAGGAGTCTGTCATGTTTTCTTCTAGTGTAAAAATTTCTGTGGATGATTTGATCTAGAAGAAACAGAGGTCTACACACACTGAGAAATGTAGTTATAGCTGACCTTTTTGGGTTTCTAAAACCTTATTTTGTATTTGTCTAAACTGAATGAGCAATATTACAGGAACAAAAGAAAGCAAAATTTAGCTCTTTGGAGAAGTCACAAAGCAAAATTGTAAAGCTCTGCTGAAGTCTAGAGGAAAAAGTAACTTGTTAGAACTGACTGTCTTGGGAGCATTAGTTCATATTCTTGGCCTTGAAATTGGTATCTTCCTCCATCATGGTATTTTTGGCTTTCTTATACTGTGGCAGGCCCCCTAATGAACAGTTCCTAGCTGAACTTTGAATCTTTTCTATGCTACAATATTTTTCAACTTGAAAAAATGATTGCAGAAAATTATCTTTGATATAAAAAGAGAGATCATATTGGTTAAATGAAACACTTAACATGCACATTGAGTAGTCACTGTTATTTCTGGTTTTATGCTTAAGGTTTAAGATTGCTTTGGAAAGAATATGCCCTGAAGCCAAGCACTGCTGATTTCTACGCTGATCAGGGGTAGGCAAGAGGATGAGGTATACAAGAGGAGTTTTGTTTGTCTTTGTTTTTGTTGTTGTTTGTAAGTTATAGGGCTTGAACTCATATCCTGAGGGCAGTCCCCATGCATTTTTGCTTGAGGTTAGTGCTCTACCATTGGGCCACAGCCCCATTTCTGTTGGTTGTGGGGCTTGAACTCTGGTCCTGGCCACTGTCTCTAAGCTCTTCAGCTCAAGGCTAGCTCTCTACCACTTGAGCCATAGTGCTGCTTCCATGAAGATTGAGGTTTGAAGCAGATATGGGAAGAAAAGTATGTTCCACTCAATCTCGAAAATAACCCTAAAAAAGTGGACTTTAGGCATGGTTAGACTGATGTAGCTCCAGAGAAGCTTGAATACAGAAGAAACATGAGTCTCTGACTTCAAACCCCAGTCCAAATTTGTCTCTTTTTTTGTGTCTCTCCCCATCTTTTCTTTGCACAAGTTTTCCTTCCTTCTTCTTTCCTTCTCCTCCATCCCTTTGTTGTTCTTGAATTTTTGTTTCTTTTTTATAGCATATTATTGTGTTTACCTCTATCTGATTGAGCTAATTTGCCTATCATTTCTGTAAAAGTCAAACTATATAATATTGTTTAACCCTGAAATTCTACTACTACTCCATCTAGTGGTTAGTAGTTTAGGTCTTTGAGATTGAGTTTAGAGCTTGTAAATTGTCTTTGCTCTTTTCTAGTTGCACTCTTGATTTGCATCAACTGCTTTCATAATCCACTGTTCTGGTTATTTGCTTTCTCCTATGCTGATTGCTTTGCATAAGCCCCTCCAGGCTGCTTGTCAGTTTTAATAAATGAGTCCTTCTGAATTGGGACCTGAGCTGCGTCTAGTGGACTGGGACAGCAAGATGGCAGCACAGACCCAGGTCCTTGTGCTCCTGTTCCTTTGGATGTCTGGTGAGATATTTGAAAATGTCACAATAAAAGTTTTTCTGCATTCCCGTTTGTAAACTAATATCTCTATAGAGATAAATATAGTGACATAACATTAGGGAGAGATTTTTATGACATAGTTCAATATTTATATCCATGTTATAACAGCTGTCTATCTGCTATCTGCCTGCTTATTTGTATGGATGATCATTGTGTATTCCTGTTTGCAGGTGGCTGTGCGGAAATTGTTGTTACTCAATCTCCAAGGTCCCTGGCTGTGTCTGCAGGAGAAAAGGTCACCATCAATTGCAAGTCCAGCCAGATTCTGTTATTATTTGGTAATAACTACTTGGCTTGGTATCAGCAGAAACTAGGAGAAGCTCCTAAGCTGCTCATATATGGGCCATCCATCCGGGCATCTAGAGTCCCTGAAAGGTTCATTGACGGTGGGTCTGGGACTGATTTCACACTCACCATCAGCAGCATAGAGGCTGAAGATATGGCAGATTATCACTGCCAACAGTCTCATAGCTACCCTCCCACAGTGCTTCAGCCTCCATCGTAAACCTCCTCCCCAGGCCATGGATCAGTGGGCCTTGCTGTGTGAACAGCTGCCTTCTCACACAGCCCTGAACTGGCATCCTTCCTGTCTGCCTGAGAGGTTGCATTTCAATATTTAGTGCTGGTAGGGTTTGCCGGGACCAGGAAATCATTCAGAGACCTGGTCTTTTTGTTTCCCTTTTTGAGGGAGATAATTGTAGAGAAAGATTGTAAGGTTGTCTGAGAGATATTGTTAGGAGTTTTTGTGTGACTGGTACCTGAATATTGCTCATGTTCAAGTGGCTGATGCAATGAAGTTAGTCTTAGTCTTTACTCTTTAGAGATAGATTTATTAGTAGTTTTTTTTTCATGTGTGTGTGTGTGTGTGTGTGTGTGTGTGTGTGTGTGTTTGTGTGTGTATGTTGTGTGTGTAAGTGTGCTGTTCCTGAGGCTTGAACTCAGGGCATAGGTGCTGTTCCTGAGCATTTTCTTTTCTTTTGTTGGGGCTAGTGGTCTACCACTTGAGGCATATGTTCACTTTTTTGTGGTTAAGTGAAGAGAAGAGTCTCATAGCCTTTATTTCTGGCAGGCTGCCTGGCAATTGACTTGCAGTCCTTAGATCTCAGCCTTCTGAGTAGTTAGGATTATGGGCAGGATCTATTGGTACTGGTAGATCTAGTGCTTCTGAGTAGATCAATTGTTTTTCTTCCCAACCTCCTTTAATCTTGGTTGTATCTACTTTGACCCTATTCCTTTATTTCTGGTCCTTTACTTCCCAATATTAAAACTAAATAGGTATCTTCTGAATTTATTTCCTTCCCAATATTAAGCCCTTGATCGCTTCTTTCAAAACCTTAGACATAGAAAATCATATTCCTAGTTCATTTCTTCTGTCCCTGCACCCTGTTTTCCAGCTGAGCATCTATGGTCAACTTCAAAGAAAATGCATCCCTGTTCTAACCCCTCACATCCTGTCCCTTTTATCTCCAAAACTACATTCCCCTCACACGACACCATCCCTCCGTGCCCCTCTTAAATTGTAAAGTTTGTTTTTAGACATAGCGTCTTGTACATATCATTGTTGCAATGGGTCAACCTGTATCCCTTTTTAAACAATTTGTTTTTTCCCTTCTGCTAAACAAATTATACCAACCTCAAATACAGTGAAAATAGGCATTATACCATGGGGGGAGGGACATACAAGCAACAAAAAAATCACGTGGTACATTATAAATACATTACAAACAAGAGCAAAAAAGAAAAAAACCCACTTGTGTCCTTATCTTGGGATTCATTTCACTTAACATCATCGTCTGTGACCTTTTCCGCTTGTCTCTGATACATACTAGTTGTTGCAAAAAAGGGAAATCATAGGACCTATTTTTCTTTGTGCCTGACTTACTTCACTTAATATAATTTTTCCCAAGTGTTTCCATTTCCTAACAAATGGGGCAATGTCATTCTTTTGTACACCAGTAGTTTCCAAGTGGACAAAGCATGTTAGAAAGAATGCTTAGCAAGACCTTTTCCTTGGACCTAGCAAGTTAAACTCTGTGATGCTCATGTGGAGAGAACTTGGCAGGAAGGAATACAAGAATTTTCTGCTTCAGCTAAAGAGTTAATTGCATAGTTTAAAACAAATGCAAAGGTGGGAAATTTCACTTTCAATTGTGATTACACAGTTCCTGGGAACTACAAACTAGTTCTGTGCACATTCTGTCATACTTATTTCCAGTTATGTCAGATTTGTATAAACCTCCTTCCCAGCAGCACAACTATATTACAGCATTATTCACTGTAGCTAAGATATGGGAAACCAAGCCAGATACCTCTCAGTAGTTGAATGGATCAAGATAATGTATATATATGTATATAATGGAATTCTATGCCACCATCAGAAAGAATGACACCACCCCATTTGTTAGGCAATGGAAAGTCTTGGAAAAATTATATTAAGTGAAGTAAGCCAGACACAAAGCAACATAAGTTCCATAGTTTTCTTTTTTTTTTTTGCAATAACTATTATATGTCTAGGATAATCTTACTAGCCAAGCAAAAAAGGTCAAAAGCTATGTAATATGACCATATAAGATGATGTTAAGCAGCATGCAGGCTGAAGATGTGGCAGATTATTACTGCCAACAGAATTATAACTTCCCTTTCACAGTGCTTCAGCCTCAATCACAAACCTCCTGTCCAGGCCATGGGTCAGTGAGCATTGCTGTGTGAACAGCTGCCTTCTCACACAGCCCTGAACTGGCATCCTTCCTCCCCGTGTGAGAGGGAGCATTTCTCCATTGAGTCCCGGTAGGGTTTGCAGGGACCAGGAAATCTTTCAGGTGCTTTTGCTTTTGTATCTTTCTTTGAGGGAGATAATTGTAGCAAATTATGGTAAGTTTGTCTGAGAGACATTGTTAGGAATTTTTATATTACAGGTACCTGAATATTTATCATGTTCAAATGGCTGATGCCATGAAGTTACTCTTTACTCTTTAGAAACAGATATAGTTGTGTGTATATGTGTGCATGTGAGTGCTATTCCTTAAGCTTGAACTCAGGGCCTGTGTGGTATTCCTGAACTGCTTTTCTTTTCTATTCTTTTCTTCTTTCTTTTATTGAAGACTAGTGCTCTTCTGGTTGAGTCATACATTTGCCTTTATTTTCTTGGTTAATTGAAGATATGAATTTCATGGACTTTCCCGCAGGTTGGGTTCCTTAGAGTTGCAATCCTCAGATCTTAGCCTTCTGAGTAGCTAGGATTACAGGCAGGAGCCATTGGTGCTGTTGGGTCTAGTGTTTCTGGATAGATCAATTCTTCTTCTCTCTTCTTCCTTTAATCCTACAGGCTTCTATTTTGCTCCTATTTCTCATTTTTTGTCTCATTTACTTCTTAATATTAAACCCCATCATTACCTGGATTCATTTATTTCCCAATATTAAGTCCATTATACCTTGTTTCAAAACCTGAAACACAGAAGTCCATATACCTAGTTTATTTCTTCTGTCTCTGCACCCTGTTCACCAGCTGAATGAACTTCTGTGGTCAATTTCAAACAAAAATACATCCCTATTCTATCTCGTCACATCCTGTTCTTTTTTCAGGTCTTTCAGTCATACTTTCTTTTAAAAATAATTTTTGAATTGTGCAATTTAATTACTAGATTTGTGTGACAGCATTTCCCATTAGATTTCCTCATCTTTGGTTAATTTTCTCTTTAGTTTATCCATGGGCACATCAGTCTAATATTGTTGTAGAAAGACAGTGAGGATCTTAGACTTACTATATGTTGAATTCCTTATGTAGTATGTCTTCAGAATAAGTTACTTGGTCAACATGAGATATTTCATTTCTTTCATTTTAATACTTTACAGAATGTTTAATTACATATAAACACATAACATAGTGTAATTACCCCCAATGTTACCAATTAGCATTTTCCAAACTCATTTCACCAAGTGATACTTGGCTTAAACAGTGTGAGCGTTTGTGTTTGGGTGCGTGCATGCATGCAAGCATGTGTATGTGTGTGTGTGTGTGTGTGTGTGTGTGTGTGTGTGTGTGTGTGTGTGTGTATGTAGGTTTTAGAGGTAATTAGGATGGGCATTTTCGTGTAAAGAAGATAAAAGACAAAGTCATCCTAATATTATTTCTCTATCGCTATCTGAAATCTTATGAGTTTTAGTTCCCGAAAAGATATCAGTAAACCCAAGGTGGGTGCTCTACATTGTTTCTTACATAAAAGCTTTTCAGTTGGGTGTTGGTGGCTTGACCAGTAATCCTTGTTACTTACAAGGCTTGGTGTGAGAATTGTGGTTCGAAGCCCCTCTACGTAGGAACATATGGGAGAATCTTATCTCAATTTAATCACCAAAAAGCTAGTATTGGAGCTGTGGCTCAAGTAGTAGAGTACTGTCCTTGAATGAAATAAGCTATGAGAGAGCTCATAGGTCCTGAGTTCAAGATACAGAACCGGTACACACACAGACACACACAGACACACACACACACACACACACACACACACACACACACACACAGGTACATCCGAATATCTCTTGTATTCCCTGTAAATATTTAAAATATGTACTCATTTTTAAAACTTTGTTAAAACTTATACATTCATTTAGTTATGTCTGGGACTTGATTTAAACAATCTTAAGAATGAAAACAACCTTGAATACAATGAAGGTAGTTTGAGTGGAAATGGGTACTAGATAATAGGAAATGGCTTTATATTTCCAGTCCTGGGGCTAGAACTCAGGGCCTGGGCACTGTCTCTGGCTAGCATACTACCACTTGAGCCACAGCTTCACTTCTGGCTTTTTGACAGTTAATTGGAGATAATGGTTCCATTGATTTTCCTGCCTGGGCTGTATCTCACCCTTCTGAGCAGCTAGAATTACAAGAATGAGATGTTACTAGATGGGAATTCCTTTTAAGTCTCAAGTGGTATGGCTGTTATTTAAAAAGTCATCATCAGTTAACAAAGTAGTGATATTTGGCTTAAACAGTGTGAGCGTTTGTGCTTGGGAGTATGCGTGCATGCAAGCATGTGCATGTGTGTGTATGTGTGTGTTGTGTGTATGTAGGTTTTAGAGGTAATTTAGATCCAACATGTAGGTGAAACGAGGTTGGAAAATGCTAATTGGTGACATTGGGGGTAATTAAACTATGTTATGTGTTTATATATAATTAAACATTCTGTAAAGTATTAAAATGAAAGGAATGAAATATCTCATGTTGACCAAGTAACTTATTCTGAAGTCAGTTGCAGTTATAAAACTTTGTCAGCACATCGCAGAGTAGGATAAGCCATGTGCCTACTTGAGTCATAGCTCAGCTTGCTAGCAACCAAGAACAGTGATTACATCTCTATCATCTATGCCTCTATCTCCTTATCTGCATCTATTCTACTTGTCTATCATTCTATCTCTGTATCTTTC